CCACACAGACCACGATCACTCCACACGACACCACACAGACCACGATCACTACACACTACACCACACAGACCACAATCACTCCACACTACACCACACAAACCACGCTCACTCCATACTAAACCACACAGACCACGATCACTCCACACGACACCACACAGACCACGATCACTCCACACTACACCACACAGACCACGATCACTCCACACTACACCACACAGACCACGATCTCTCCACACGACACCACACAGACCACGATCATTCCACACTACACCACACAGACCAAGCTCACTCCACACTACACCACACAGACCACGATCACTCCACACTACACCACACAGACCACGATCACTCCACACGACACCACACAGACCACGATCACTCCACACTACACCACACAGACCACGCTCACTCCACACTACACCACACAGACCACGATCACTCCACACTACACCACACAGACCACGTTCACTCCACACTACACCACACAGACCACGATCACTCCACACGACACCACACAGACCACAAACACTCCACACTACACCACACAGACCACGCTCAGTCCACACTACACCACACAGACCACAATCACTCCACATTACACCACACAGACCACGATCACTCCACACTACACTACACAGACCACGATTACTCCACACTACACCACACAGACCACAATCACTCCACACTACACCACACAGACCACACTCAGTCCACACTACACAACACAGACCACGATTACTCCACACTACACCACACAGACCACGTTCACTCCACACAACACCACACAGACCACGATCACTCCACACGACACCACACAGACCACAATCACTCCACACTACACCACACAGACCACGCTCAGTCCACACTACACCACACAGACCACAATCACTCCACACTACACCACACAGACCACGATCACTCCACACTACACTACACAGACCATGCTCACTCCACACTACACCACATAGACCACAATCACTCCACACTACACCACACAGACCACGCTCACTCCACACTACACCACACAGACCACGATCACTCCACACTACACCACACAGACCACGATCACTGCACACGACACCACACAGACCACGATCACTGCACACGACACCACACAGACCACGATCACTCCACACTACACCACACAGACCACGATCACTCCACACTACACCACACAGACCACGATCACTCCACTCTACACCACACAGACCACGATCGCTCCACACGACACCACACAGACCACGATCACTCCACACTACACCACACAGACCACGATCACTCCACACTACACCACACAGACCACGATCATTCCACACTACACAACACAGACCACGATCACTCCACACTACACCACACAGACCACTATCACTCCACAGGACACCACACAGACCACGATCATTCCACACTACACCACACAGATCAAGATCACTCCACACTACACCACACAGACCACGATCACTCCACACTACACCACACAGACCACGATCACTCCACACGACACCACACAGACCATGATCACTCCACACTACACCACACAGACCATGCTCATTCCACACTACACCACACAGACCACGATCACTCCACACGACACCACACAGACCACGCTCACTCCACACTACACCACACAGACCACGCTCACTCCACACTATACCACACAGACCACGATCACTCCACACGACACCACACAGACCACGATCACTACACACTACACCACACAGACCACAATCACTCCACACTACACCACACAAACCACGCTCACTCCATACTAAACCACACAGACCACGATCACTCCACACGACACCACACAGACCACGATCACTCCACACTACACCACACAGACCACGATCACTCCACACTACACCACACAGACCACGATCTCTCCACACGACACCACACAGACCACGATCATTCCACACTACACCACACAGACCAAGCTCACTCCACACTACACCACACAGACCACGATCACTCCACACTACACCACACAGACCACGATCACTCCACACTACACCACACAGACAACGATCACTCCACACTACACCACACACACCACGATCACTCTACACTACACCACACAGACCACGATCACTCCACACTACACCACACAGACCACAATCACTCCACACTACACCACACAGACCACGCTCATTCCACACTACACCACACAGACCACGCTCACTCCACCCTACACCACACAGACCACGATCACTCCACACGACACCACACAGACCACGCTCCACCACACAGACCACGATCATTCCACACTACACAACACAGACCACGATCACTCCAAACTACACTACACAGACCACGATCGCTCCGCACGACACCACACAGACCACGATCGCTCCACACTACACCACACAGACCACGATCACTCCACACTACACCACACAGACCACGATCATTCCACACTACACAACACAGACCACGATCACTCCACACTACACCACACAGACCACGTTCACTCCACACTACACCACACAGACCACGATCACTCCACACTATTCCACACTATACCACACAGACCACGATCACTCCACACGACACCACACAGACCACGCTCACTCCACACGACACCACACAGACCACGATCATTCCACACTACACCACACAGACCAAGCTCACTCCACACTACACCACACAGACCACGATCACTCCACACTACACCACACAGACCACGATCACTCCACACTACACCACACAGACAACGATCACTCCACACTACACCACACACACCACGATCACTCTACACTACACCACACAGACCACGATCACTCCACACTACACCACACAGACCACAATCACTCCACACTACACCACACAGACCACGCTCATTCCACACTACACCACACAGACCACGCTCACTCCACCCTACACCACACAGACCACGATCACTCCACACGACACCACACAGACCACGCTCCACCACACAGACCACGATCATTCCACACTACACAACACAGACCACGATCACTCCAAACTACACTACACAGACCACGATCGCTCCGCACGACACCACACAGACCACGATCGCTCCACACTACACCACACAGACCACGATCACTCCACACTACACCACACAGACCACGATCATTCCACACTACACAACACAGACCACGATCACTCCACACTACACCACACAGACCACGTTCACTCCACACTACACCACACAGACCACGATCACTCCACACTATTCCACACTATACCACACAGACCACGATCACTCCACACGACACCACACAGACCACGCTCACTCCACACTACACCACACAGACCACGATCACTCCACACTACACCACACAGACCACGATCACTCCACACTATACCACACAGACCACGATCACTCCACACGACACCACACAGACCACGATCATTCCACACTACACAACACAGACAACGATCACTCCACACTACACCACACAGACCACGATCACTCCACACGACACCACACCACACAAACCACGATCACTCCACACCACACCACACAGACCACGATCACTCCACACTACACCACACAGACCACGATCATTCCACACTACACAACACAGACCACGATCACTCCACACTACACCACACAGACCACGATCACTCCACATGACACCACACAGACCACGATCACTCCACACGACACCACACAGACCACGATCACTCCACACTACACCACACAGACCACGATCACTCCACACGACACCACACAGACCACGATCACTCCACACGACACCACACAGACCACGATCACTACACACTACACCACACAGACCACAATCACTCCACACTACACCACACAAACCACGCTCACTCCATACTAAACCACACAGACCACGATCACTCCACACGACACCACACAGACCACGATCACTCCACACTACACCACACAGACCACGATCACTCCACACTACACCACACAGACCACGATCACTCCACACGACACCACACAGACCACGATAATTCCACACGACACCACACAGACCACGATCACTTCACACTACACCACACAGACCACTATCACTCCACAGGACACCACACAGACCACGATCATTCCACACTACACCACACAGATCACGATCACTCCACACTACACCACACAGACCACGATCACTCCACACTACACCACACAGACCACGATCACTCCACACGACACCACACAGACCACGATCACTCCACACTACAACACACAGACCATGCTCATTCCACACTACACCACACAGACCACGATCACTCCACACGACACCACACAGACCACGCTCACTCCACACTACACCACACAGACCACGCTCACTCCACACTATACCACACAGACCACGATCACTCCACACGACACCACACAGACCACGCTCACTCCACACTACACCACACAGACCACGCTCACTCCACACTATACCACACAGACCACGATCACTCCACACGACACCACACAGACCACGCTCACTCCACACTACACCACACAGACCACGATCACTCCACACTACACCACACAGGCCACGCTCACTCCACACTACACCACACAGACCACGATCACTCCACACGACACCACACAGACCACGCTCACTCCACACTACACCACACAGACCACGCTCACTCCACACTACACCACACAGACCACGCTCACTCCACACTACACCACACAGACCACGCTCACTCCACACTACACCACACAGACCACGCTCACTCCACACTACACCACACAGACCACGCTCACTCCACACTACACCACACAGACCACGATCACTCCCCACGGCACCACACAGACCACGATCACTCCACACTATACCACACAGACCACGCTCACTCCACACTACACCACACAGACCACGATCACTCCACACTACACCACACACACCACGATCACTCTACACTACACCACACAGACCATGTTCACTCCACACTACACCACACAAACCACGATCACTCCACACTACACCACACAGACCACGCTCACTCCACACTACACCACACAGACCACGTTCACTCCACACTACACCAAGACCATGGCTCACGTGGGAGATTTTGTCGGCGAGTCCACTGGCGGGCGCCTGCGAGCGGTGGAGGAGGTGCTGGATGAGCAGCCGGCAGCTCTCGCTCTTCCCCGAGCCGCTCTCCCCACTACAACAAGCACAGAGGAGGTCCCCCACCCCTGGAGCCTTTAAACGGTCGGTGGAGGTGAGTGTGGAAACTACCCGGTCTGTCACCACGGTCGTGCCCTCTAATGGAACATCTGCGCCGATTAGAAACATTTAGGCTAGCCTTCCTACGTCCCATCCTGGGCTTAACCAGGCTGGATTGTGCGAGGAGCTCACAAATCCATGAAAAATCTGGACGCAGTCCCATCAGTGAGCTCCTCCAGCAGGCAAGGCTGCGTTGGCTGGGTCATGTAGCCTGCATGCGGGGGTTAAACGGGATTGAAACGGGCTGGACTGATGAGATACGGGAGAATGGGGAACTGAGTGGACTTGCCAATGACTGGTATCAGCAGTGTCAAGATCGCCCTTTATAGAGGAGGCTCATGAAGGACACTACTGGGCAGCTGGAGGCAGTCGCCCTCCAACAACAACAGAGGGCAGGGGAGTGACGCTCACGACAACAAGCAGTGCCGGGCAGATAAAAATACAGCAAGTTGGCACATTAGGGGGCACAGGTGGTGTATCTACCAGTCACCTGAGTCAGTCAACCCATGGCACCTGCTGGGTCTGTTCCATGACCTCCTGTCGGTGAGCCTTCAACACTTCACGTGGCCTCAAAGTGCACCTGGCTTGGCACAGGCGCCGTGGTGACATCACCATCACTTAGTGGCGAATAGCAGGTATTGGTGTGTGTGCGTGTGTGAGCATGTGTGTGCGTGTACACGTGTGTGTGCGTGTGTGTGCATGTGTACATGTATACATGTGCACGTGTGTACATGTGTGTGCTTGTACACGTGTGTTTACGTGTGTGTGCATGTGTGTACATGTGTACGTGTGTGTACATGTGTCTTTACACCTGTGTGTGCGTGCGTGGGCATGAGTGTGTATGCGAGTGCGTACATACTTGTTGTCTGCGTGCATGTGTGTGTGTATGTGTGTGCGTGTATACGTTTGGGCCGTCCATTAATGACGTCACGCGATTTTGGACGATTTTTGACCCCCCCCCCTCTCTCATCACACGGCGTCACAAAAAGTCAGACCCCCCCTCAAATGACGTCACAAAGCTCTGCCCCCCCCCCCCAAACATAAAACATGCTTCAAATCGCTTTAAACTATTGTCATTGTAGTGCATAATGTGGCGCTGCACTCTGATGTTGTAGGAGAAAACATTTATTAAAAAGTCTATTTAATTAAGTAGAACGTGTTGTCTATTTATTTAAAGTTGCGCATTTTGATGTGACGTCACATTTCTCAACCCCCCCCCCCCCTTGTCACACATCGTTACAAATGTCTGCCCCCCCCCCCCCCCTAGGTGCATGACATCATTTATGGACGGCCCCTTTATGTGCATACGTGCGTACGTGTGCGTGCATGTGTGTACATACTTGCTGTCTGCGTGCGTGTGTACGTGTGTGCGTGTATACGTGTTTATGTGCGTACGTGCGTACGTGTGCGTGCGTCAGCGAAGCGTGTATACATGTGCGTGAGCTAAGCGTGTGTGCGTGCGTGAAGCGTGTGTATGTGTGCGTGCGTGAAGCGTGTGTACGTGTGCGTGCGTGAGCGTGCGTGTGTGCATGCGTACGTGAGTGCGTGTGTACGTGCATGTGTACGTGCGTGCGTGCGTGCCCACCTGAGCATGAAGCCCTGCGAGCGTCGCTCCCGGCGCAGGGCGTGGTATGCTCGCTCGGCGACAGCGAACACGTGCGGGGGCAGCGTCGCCCACAGCTTGCCAGAGTGGCTCAGGTAGAGCTGGGAGACCTGGTGGGCGCACGGACCGGGGGAGGGGCGCGGGGAGGGGGAAGAGGTGGGGAGGAGGGCATGGGGGGTTGGGGGTGAGACCCACGGGGGTGTGCAGGTGAAAAAAAATAAACGAAACTATTATAATTGTATTTTAACGACCTTTTGCCAGGATCAAAATGATGAAAATAATAAAAAAGAGTTTGACCCTTTCTGGCAATTAATTCATCAAGCATCAAATCTGCATTAACCACACACACTTAGTACATATTTAGTATGTGTAGCTAATGCAGACTTGATGGCTCGCATAAGTTATCTTTTTATTGCCAGAAAGGGTAAAATATAATGTATTATTTGCAGGGGCGGTTTCTTCATTAGGGCGATTGGGCGACGCACCACCAAAGTGTGAAAGGGACTTTTTCAATCACATTCACAATCTCATTCAACCATAGAGTTACGCTAGCCGTCACTGTGCCTTTGGATATAGTCCAATCAGCGCATGTCACGTTCTGTGGAGTACCGCCTCTTTTTGGGCGATTTCACTCTGGCTGAGAATCGCCCAGAGTGTTCCCATAGACTTACATTCAAAGATGTTTTTTTTTTCGAACTGCAGGCACTGCAATGCATTCTCTATGGGTTCCGGGAGGGCTCGCACTAACGTGCTTACGTCATCATACGTATCCTTAACTTGTGCAGCGATTGGTGGGAACAAACATCACTGTCGGACGGAAGCCTTGTATGTCCAAAACTGTTACTTTTCAGGAAACGAAAGAAAACCTGTTTTTTCCCCAAAATAATTTCCAAGCTCTTTTAATGCTTATCATTGGTTAAATATTTGTAAAACACATTGACAGATGTAAAGGGTGACCTATAGCATTAATTTTTGAAAAAATATGGAGATATAAAATATGGATTCTGCCTGATACATTGTTGCTGTCGGGATGGAAACCTTGTATCTCCATATTTATATTATAATAAATCATTTATTTTATAACTAAAATAATTGTATTTATTTTGTCAGGTCTGCGACACAATCTTGGTCCACACCAAAGAAAGGTTCTCCTTTACCGACCACCTTGTAAGTGCCACGCTGCTACAAGGAGAGATGTTTCAACAGCATGGCCATACATTCCCTGTTGAGGCTCTGAACATCACTGTCAGGGCATACCCTATGTTAAATAAGGCGAAGCTGAAGACTGAACTGTTTCTCATTTATGAGAGTCCAGAATTCAAGGACTGCTGTGGTGCACTGGCGCTGTACCAGGTTTTGCTGAAGTACAACCTCCAGGATACTTTTTCAGAGACTGTTGCTCTGTTGAACATCCTCATAACCACTCCCATGACAACTGCTGAAGCTGAGAGGTGTTTCTCAACCTTAAAGAGAATCAAGACATTCCTGAGAAATGTAATGGGACAGGAACGTCTGAATGCACTGGCTATGCTTTCCATGGAGAGGGAACTAGTCAGGAACATGCCTGCTTTCAATGAGAGAGTAATTGGTCACTTTGCTACTTTGAAAGAGAGAAGAGCAAAATTTCAGTATAAGTAAGCAGTGTATTAAGCGAGTAATGTGCTGTAAGCAGTGTAATAATAGTGAGTATAGAAACAAACAAGGAGATGTATTGTAAGAGTCACTTTATTTTTCATTAATATTAAAGTAGTGAAGTTGCCTTTACATGCTTAAGCTGTTAATTTATCCATTGCATGGGTGGACCTTATCCTTATCAATCATCCAAACATTTGCCCCCCCTGAGAGATTTTGCAGGAGCCGGCACTGATTATTTGTCATAATTAAGAAGCGACCTGGCTATTACAAATTATAGCTCAACGAAGTGGCTTATCATCATCACGTGGAAACATATAGCAGCCAAATACTCGAAATGTGTGCCATTGATTCGAAACATGGAGGGAAAAACCAGAGGACCTGGAGACAAATCCGCGCGACCAAGGGGAGAGAGACACGCAAACTCAAAATATACAGCAGGAGTCAGGGTCGGGATCGAACCCACGACCTCCTGTACATCAGGCGAGAGAGTTAACATCTCATAACCACAGTGAAGGGGATTGGGGGGCAAGATGAGATACGGACTGGGAGTTGTGCGCTGTGGATGACGTTGATGGTGGTAGTGATGGTGGTGATTGGTGGTGATGGTGGTGATTGGTGGCGATGGTGGTGCTGGTAATGGTGGTGCTGGTGATAGTGCTGGTGAAAGTGGTGGTGATAGTGATGATGGCAAAGGTGGTGGTGATGGAGGTGGTGGTGATGGTGAAGGTGGTGGTGATGGTGAAGGTGGTGGTGATGGTGGTAGTGATGGTGATGGTGATAGTGGTGGTGAAGGTGGTGGTGGTGGTGATGGAGGTGGTGGTGATGGAGGTGGTGATGATGGCAAAGGTGGTGGTGATGGTGAAGGTGGTGGTGATGGTGGTAGTGGTCGTAATGGTGATAGTGATGGTGGTGAAGGTGGTGGTGGTGGTGATGGAGGTCGTGGTGATGGTGAATGTGGTGGTGGCAGTAATGGAGGTGGTGGTGATGGTGATGGTGGCGGTAATGGAGGTGTCGTGATGGTGAAGGTGGAGGCACGCACCATCTTGGAGTAGATGGACATCTCCCGGAAGGGGTTGAGCACCAGCAGGATGTCTCCGATGTATGTCTGGGAATGGCGCAAAGCAACATTGTCAAGCAGGCACGGGGTCATCACGGGGGAGGTCACGGGGGAGGTCACGGGGGAGGTCGTGGGGCCATCACAGGGGAGGTCGCGGGGTCGTCATGGGGGAGGTCATGGGGCCGTCACGGGGGAGGTCACGGGGTCATCACGGGGGAGGTCACGGGGTCATCACGGGAGAGGTCGCGGGGTCGTCACGGGGGAGGTCACGGGGTCGTCACGGGGGAAGTCATGGGGCCGTCATGGGGGAGGTCATGGGGCCGTCATGGGGGAGGTCACGGGGTCATCACAGGGGAGGTCACGGGGTCATCACGGGGGAGGTCACGGGGTCATCAAGGGGGAGGTCGCGGGGCCGGCATGGGAGAGGTCGCGGGGCCATCATGAGAGAGGTTATGGGGTTGTCACATGGGAGGTCATAGGGCCGTCACAGGGGAGGTTTTGGGGTTGTCACGGGGGAGGTCGCGGGGTCGTCACGGGGGAGGTCGGCATACTAACTAACAGCACTTACCCAAACAGTCTTTTAAGGATATACAGGAGATATTTGTCATTGTACATGTGTGTGTGTACGGGAGTGGTAGAGCAGTGGTTTGCGCACTCAGCTACCATCGCAGCAACCCAGGCGAGGTTTCTGCTCATTGCGAGCATCGGTGGCAAATATCTGATCCGTTCCTGGGCCTCCCCTAGGTCGACTCAGCATTAATTGAGTACCGGAGGGAGTGGGTGACCAGCACCACGCCTGACTCAGCCTCTCACTGACACACATGTAGTGACATAGAATTGGTCACGTAGCAGCATAGCACTGGCTGCTGGAAGGGAAGGGGACCTGTTGCTTACAGCAGCCCTGACTGACAGCAGGCCACGTGATAGAGCAGAGAGGGATCTAGGGGAAACGTCACGGAAGGGGCACGTCGAGAACCCGCGAGTAGGTTCCAGAAGGGGGCGTGGCCGGGGGCGGAGCCAGGCCACGTGACAGTATAAGAGGGGCCCAGGGAGGGGACCTCGGTGCTGTCGTTTGGAGTGGGATCCACGTCGTGCTGCTGGAGTCTTCACTGTCGTCCCCGTCTTCACCATCTTGGCGTTGCCAGTCAGGCAGTCTACCAGCTGTCCTGACTGGGAACCGTAGTTGCTAAGTGTTGCTGTCAGGGCATGTTAATAAACAGAGTGCCTCCTACTCTTAGTGTCTCTGAGTCAGTCACTACACGCACACTAACACTCACCCGCTCACTTACACATTCACTCAATCTCCCACTCATACAATCACCCAGACACTCACACACTCTCTCCCCCGCTCTCCCTCTGGCTGCTGACTCACGTAGAGCTGCTGCCGCTGGAATCTCTTCTCCAGCTCGTATAGGAGGCTCCTCTCCGTGAGCTCCTCCAGCGTCGCCACGTCGTCGCTGGGGGACGGGGGCGTCAGACGCACCTACACACACACGCACATCACACACGCATCTGTCACACACGCGTCACACATGCGTAACATACACACGTCGGTCACACAATCGCGTCGGTCACATACGCGTCACACACGTGTCACACACATACCACACACGCATCATGCACGCGTTGGTCACACACACGTGACACACACACGACACACACATGTCACACACACGTCAATCATACACCGGTCACACACGCGTCAGTCACAAACGCGTTACACACGTGTCACACACCTGTCACACACACGTCGGTCACACAGGCATCGGCCACATGCGCCGGTCACACACGTGGCCCACACGTGTAAGTCACACGTGTTGCAAACATGTCACACGCATGTCACAAACGTGCATCACGCGAGAAATCGATTTCCCCCCCCCCACCACCCCCCTGCCCCCCACTGGCTGCCCCCTAACTGAACTCGAGGGGGCAGCTGCACGAAGCCCCCCCACCCCACCCCCACCCTCCAGATTTGTGTCCCCGCAGCACGCGGGGCCTGCCAGGTTCCCCTCCTCCCATCCTCCACGCCCGTCACCGCTAAAGAGCGCCCCCTCATTCCTGGCCCTGCTGCTGCTGCGGGATCAGCTGATTGGCTATCACAGCTTCATCTACAGCTGGGATGCTGAGTCACGCCCCCCCCCCCACACACAGAGAGCTGTGTGTCTATGTTGTGTGTCTCTCTCTGCTTGTGTGTCTGTCTGTGTGTCTCCGTGTCTGTGGTTTGTCTCTCTCTCAAATGTAGTTCTACCTGATAACGACTGCTTGTGTTGCAATCGAAACGGCGTATTCTATTATTGAATGTATTTTCTTTCTACGTCACTTTACTGAAAGAACCAAAGAGTCAAAATAAACAATTTATATTTTACAAGTTCAGGTCCACTGAGCTATAGAGCTCAACGAAGTGGCTCATCATCATCACTTGAACATTGAAAGCAGCCAAATATTCTAAACGCGTGACGTTGATGTGGAGGGAAAACCGGGAGAACCCGGAGACGAATCCACGAGACCACAGGGAGAGAGACACACGCAAACTCCAAATATACAGCAGGCGTCAGGGTCGGGATCGAGCCCACGACCTCCTGTATACCAGGCGAAGGAGTTAACATCTCGCTTGGGGAGCTCGCCTGTCTCAGGGTGAAGTTTCCGTTGCAGGTGGCTGCCTCTCCGCCCTCTCCGGCCTCCTCCGGCGCCGTCGTCGCCGCCGTCACCACCGTCGCCGGCTCGGAGCGCCCTGGGCCCTCACCGAACATGGCCCGGCGCTCCCTCCAGGCGTCACGCCGGCTCGGGGAGGGCCCCCACGGGTCCCTGCGAGGCACGGGGAGCACCGGAGCGGTGAGCACCGGCACGACAAGCTCTCACTCAAATATTACAGGCGACCACATGTGATGATTCAGGCAATAAATCTTCTTCAGGGTGAAGAGAAATAAGAGCGCAGGACATGGCCGGGGCCTGTACCACAGCATGCGAACCACTATGCCACTGCTCCCCACAGACACACACATATATACACACACACACAGACACACACAGATACACACACACATAGACCCACAAAGACAAAGATCCCCCGTGTAGCCTTAACAGACTGTCGTGGCAAGTGCTGTTAGCGAATAGCACCTATAATGGCCGGAACGGTACACGAGGGGGTCGGTGGCCAGCACCACGCCTCGCCACCTTTGTCTCCCCAGTGGCGATGTTTACACACCATACCAGGTACTCATTTGAGGCTGAATCGACCTAGGGCAGGCCCACGACCAGGATTAAATACTCGTTAATGGATATCGGATATCGAACCCGGATCACCGGGTTCGTAGTGCAGCGCAATAACCGCTACACTACCGTACCCCACAAAGACAAAGAAACGCACTGACACACGAAGACACACACCGACACGCACACAAAGGAACAGGGAAGAGGAGGAGTGGGGGAGGAGGAAGGGAGGGAGAGGAGGGGGGAGAAGTCGCTTGACCCTGGGCAACTCGATGGCTGCGTGGGACCGTGAGGGTAATGCTCTCACTCACTCACTCTCGCTCATCATTTAAAATCATGGCCGCGGGGACCCTTGGCTACACAGATGTGCGTGCATGTGTGCGTGTGTATGTGTGCGTGTGCGTGTGTATGTGTGCGTCAATGTGTGTAGTATTGGTATGTGGGGAGCGGTAGTGTAGTGGTTAGCGCGTTGCGCTATGAATTTGGCGACCCGAGTTCTATTCCCGCTCACGGCCAACACCATTGACGATTATTTGGCCTCTCTTAGGTCGACTCAGCCTCAAATGAGTACCTGGTGCAGTGTTTAAACATCGCTACTGGGGAGACAAAGGCGGTCGGGCGTGGTATTGGCAACCCACCCCCTCGTGTACCATGTCGGCCTTCATGGGTGCTCGCTAACAGCACTTCCCCCAAAAGTCTGTTAAGGCTATACAGGGGATCTTTGTCTTTGTTCGTGTGTCTGCTTGGCTGGATGAAGGGTGCTACACGGCATGGTACAGGGTAGAGAAGAGATGGAACTGATGCGGTACAGGACGATGTGGAGCTGAGTGGACTTGTCCATGACTCCTACGGGCAGTGTGAAGATCGGCCTCTGTGTAGGGGATTCAATAACAGTGGAGGGCAGAGGAGCGACGCTCCCAACAATGAGCAGAGCACCAAGAGATAAATCTCAGCAAGTTGGCACAGTGGGGGGAAATATTTGGTGCATCTTCCAGTGGTCTCAATCAACCCCTGGCACCTGTATATGTCCCATGACCTCCTGCCAGCGAGCCTTCGACACTTCACGTGGCCTCAAGGTGCACCTAGCCTGACACAAGTGACGTGGTGATGTCACCATCACTTAGTGGCATATGGCGACTGTTGTTGCAGAGCGACCAGCGGTGACTGATGCGTGAGCGAGTGGGCGGTTGGGTGCACGGTTAAGTCAGTGGGTGGTTGTGGTTGGGTGGTTGGGGCAGGTAGTTGGCTGAATTGGTGGGTGGTTGAGTGGATGGTTGCGTGAGTGGGTGGTTCGGTGAGCGAGTGGGTGGGTGGATGGTTGAGTGATTAGGTGGCTGCGCCAGGTGACTGGGTGGGCGGTTGCACAGGAGGTTGGCCGGATGTGTTGTTGTAACCAGCAGTGGTGGTAGAACACGGTACAGACGAGACTAAATAGCAGTTGTGGTTGCGCATGACCGTGGTTGCGGTTGTCGGGTCTGTGGCCGTGATGGCTCTTACCGGCGCTTCGCTGGCACGAAGTCGTCGTGTAGGATCTCTTCGTACGCCCCCTCCTGCTCCCCCCCCTCCTGCTCCTCCTCCCCCACCCCTGTGCCACCCACCGCGGCCCCCCGTGGCCGCCCCCCCCTCTCCTGCCACTCCTCCTGGCCTTGCACCAGCATCTCACGGACGAAGTCCGACGACGCCACCTCTTGAAAGCGACACGGCGAACAAACAAACGAACGAACAAACAACAACAGCCGTCAACCGTCGTCAACCGCTATTGACAGATCGCTTGCCCCGCAATGAGGGAGGGCGGCTCCATTGACTCATTGACCCCTGGATTCACTAACCCCTGACTCACTGACCCCCGGACCCACTGACCCCTGACTCACTGCCCCTGGACCCACTGACCCCTGACTCAAGGACTCCTGGACCCACTGAACCCTGGCTCACTGACCGGCTGGCTGATTTTGGTTGCAGTTGAGAGCTGTGGGGTCGGCTCCGTGCCTCAGCAGTAACCGCACCACCCTGGCCTACACAGATACACACACGCAGATGCACACAAAGATACACACACACATACAGATACACACACAGATACACACACAAATACACAGATACAAACACACACAGATACAGAAAATACAAAGAACCCCCATATAGCCTGTAACAGACTGTAGGGGCAAGTGCTGTTAGCGAGCACCTATGAAGGCTGGCAGGGCACACGAGGGGTTAGGTGGCCAACACCACGCCCGGCCGTCTTTGTCTCCCTTTTTGCGATGTTTACACATCGCACCAGGTACTCATTTGAGGCTGAGTCAACCTAGCGGAGGTACAGGACCGGTTCAAATAATCGTCACTGGTGTTGGCCGTGAGCGGAAATCGAACCCGGGATGCCAGGTTCATAGCACAGCGTGTTAACCGCTACTCACACACTAATACACAAACACACAGATACACAACAACAACCGACATTCACCACTAAGTGGCGGTGACATCACCACGGCGCTTGTGCCAGGCTATGTGCACGTTGAGGCTAAGTGAAGTGTCGAACGCCCCCTAGCAGTAGGTCACGGGGCAGACCCAGGTGCCACGGGTTGACTGACTGAGATGACTGGCTGATGCAACACCTGTACCCCCTACTGTGCCAACTTGCTGTGCTTTATCCACCCGGCGCTCCGCTCGTTGTTGTGAGCGTCGCTCCTCCGCTCTCCATTGTTGTTGGAGGGCGACTGCCTCCAACTGCCCAGTAGCTTCCTTCACGAGCTTCCTCCACAGAGGCCAATCTTGACACCGCTGGTACCAGTCATCGGCAAGTCCACTCATCTCCACATCTTCCTGTACCACATCACTCCAATTCTTTTCTAGCCTGTGCCATGCCTGTTTAGCCCCCTCTATTTCGGCCAAAAAAATGTGTTTAGGCATGCGGTGGCTGGGCATGCGGGCTACATGACCCAGCAAACATAGCCTTGCCTGCCGGAATAGCTCACCGATGGGACTTTTTCCAGATCTCTCATGGATTTGTGAGCTCCTCACACAATATAGCCTGGTTAAACCCAGAATAGATCGTAGGCAGACCAGCCTAAATGTTTCTATCCGGCAAAGATGTTCCATTAGGGGGGTCCACGTTTCGCAAGCGTAGAGAAGGGAGGGCATGACTGTGGCCGAGAAGATCTGAAGCTTCGTGTGGAGCCACAGACCAGGTAGCTTAGGCAACCGATAAAAATATAATGCCGCTCGACTGATTCAGAGACCTCTGCTGTCAAACCGGAGCCACTCATGAGCAGACTGCCCAGGTATGGGAAGCTCTCCACTCTCTTCACAACTGCCCTATCACTAGTTGTGGGGGTGGAGTTTCTGATGGTATAAAATAGCCAGGCAGGTGCTTAGTTTTGGTGGGGCAGATGGTAAGGCCCCACCTCTTAGTGGCATGCTCCAGATTCAGCAGCAGCGCCTCCAACTCCTCCTCTGAATGAGCAGCAATTACCATTTCATCGGCATACGTAACATGGTTGAGCAATAGGGAGCCACCCTTGACCACACCCGGGCATTGATCAACCCCCCACTGTATCTGTACCAGATGGAAATTCCTCCGTTACAGCCATTGAAGGCTTCACGAACTACATGGTCGAAATAGATGTTAAATAATGTGGGAGCCAGAGGACATACCTGTCGCACCCCAAGGTGAACAGGGAATGGCTCTGACTCAAGGCCACGTAGTTTTATCCAGGCCTGCTCACCATCATAAAAGTCCTTAATGATCGTGAGCAGAGAGTCAGGGACTCCAAAAGCACGAAGAACAATCCAGAGTCCAGGTCTATTGATGGTATCATAGGCTTTGACCAGGTCAATAAAGTAGAGATGTAGGTCTTGTTGGAATTCCCTACACCTCTGCTGTAACAGATGGACAGAACATATGGCATCTGTGCAGGACCACCCTTTCCTGAAACCACATTGGGGCTCCGCAAACCTCTCCTCAGCGTGCCTGGCAAGGCGATGTTGAATAATCCTTGCCAGGACCTTTCCCGGCACACTGAGGAGTGAGATGCCCCTGTAGTTGTTACAGTCTTTGTGGTCCCCCTTCTTAAAGAGGGGGACCACCAGGGCATCCTTCCAATCCTGCGGAACCCATCCAGTGGTTCAGACTGTTATTATGATGTCATGTAGGGCAGTCTGTTCACAAACGCCACCCTCCCTCAGCATTTCGCTTGGGAGGTCGTCTCTGCCCGGCGCTTATCCTGGTCTCAGACTTCGGATCACCCCTTGCACTTCCTCCACAGACAGCACCTCAGCCAACCAATCAGAAGGGGCGGCTACTTCTGCCAATATTTGAGGCACTGCAGCCCTAGCAGGGTCGTCCCCACCGTGCCCAATGATGTTGTCTGGGCTGAGGGAATTCCCCTCCCCCAAGACCACACAAAATGCCCTGCAAACCTGTCCCTGGGGTTCAGTAACAGGATAGATACACACATTGAGATACACACACACAGAGATTCAAACAAAGACAAATAACAAATATCCCCCGTATAGCCTTAACAGACTGTAGGGGCGAAGTACTGTTAGCGAGCACCTATCATATAGAAAGATACACACATACATATAGATTACACATACATAGAGATACACAAACATATATATATATACACACACATAGAGCTACACACACACATGGACACACACAGCGATACACACACACACACACAGAGAAACACACACAGATAGAGATGCACACACATGGACATACACACAGAGGTACACAACGAGACAGACAGACAGAGAGACAGAGACACAGAGAGACGAGGACACAGGGACACAGAGAGACATGGAGACAGACATACAGGGAGAGAAGGACACAGGGAGACAGTGAGACAAGGACACAGACAGTCAGGGAGGCAGGGAGACAGGGACACAGAGAGACAGAGACAGGGACACAGAGGGTCAGACAGGCCGGGAGACAGATAGAGAGGAAGCCAGGGAAACAGTGAGCCAGGAATACAGGAAGACAAGTACACAGACAGACAGAGAGCCAAGGGGTGTGACCTCTCACCTGTCCGTATTTGGCTGCTAAGTGCAGGGGCCCCCAGGCAGTGCTGTCCGGGCGGTCCGGGTCGGCGCCGGCCTCCAGCAGCAGCCGCACCGCCGGCACACAGCCAAACACACAGGCGGTGTGCAGCTGTGGGTGTGGGTGGGGTGGTGTGGGTGGGTGGATGGATGGATGTGGGTAGGCGAGCGCGTGAGTGAGTGTGCGCGTGGTTGTGTAGGTGAGCGGTTGTGTGGGTGGCGGGTGTGTGGTTGAGTGTGTGGGTGAGTGTGTGCGTGGTTGTATGGGTGAGTCGGTGAGTGTGAGTGGTTGTGTGAGGTGAGTATGCGTGTGGGTGAGTGTGTGCGTGGTTGCGTGGGTGTGTGGATGGGTGGGTGTGTGGATGAGTGGGCGAGTGGACGAGTGGGTGTGTGGGTAAGAGTGTGTGCGGTTGTGTGTTTGAGTGCATGCGTGGTTGTGCGGGTGAGTGTGTGCGTGGTTGTGTGGGCAAGCGGGTGTGTGGGTGAATGGGTGTGTGGGTGAGTGGGTGTATGGGTGAGTGAGTGAGTGGGTGTATGGGTGAATGGGTGAGTGGGTGAGTGGGTGTATGGGTGAGTAGGTGTGTGGGTGAGTGTGTCCATGGTTGTATGGGTGAGTCGGTGGGTGTGTGAGTGGGTGTGTGAGTGGGTGTGTGGGTGAGTGGGTGAGTGATGTGTGGGTGAGTGGGTGTGTGGGTGAGTGGGTGTGTGGGTGAGTGGGTGTGTGGGTGAGTGTGTCCATGGTTGTATGGGTGAGTCGGTGGGTGTGTGAGTGGGTGTGTGGGTGAGTGGGTGAGTGGGTGTGTGGGTGAGTGGGTGTGTGGGTGAATGGGTGTGTGGGTGAGTGGGTGAGTGGGTGTATGGGTGAGTATGCATGGTTGTATGGGTGAGTCGGTGAGTGTGTGAGTGGGTGTGTGGGTGAGTGATTGTGTGTGTGTGAGTGTGTGGGTGAGTGTGTGAGTGTGTGAGTGGGTGAGTGGGTGAGTGTGTGAGTGGGTGAGTGGGTGTGTGGGTTAGTGATTGTGTGTGTGAGTGGGTGTTTGGGAGAGTGTGTATGTGGGTGAGTGGGTGTGTGGGTGTGTGGGTGAGTGGGTGTGTGGGTGAGTGGGTGTGTGGGTGAGTGGGTGAGTAGGTGTATGGGTGAATGGGTGTGTGGGTGAGTGGGTGTATGGGTGAATGGGTGTGTGGGTAAGTGGGTGAGTGGGTGTATGGGTGTATGGGTGAGTGTGCATGGTTGTATGGGTGAGTCGGTGAGTGTGTGAGTGGGTGTGTGGGTGAGTGATTGTGAGTGTGTGAGTGGGTGAGTGGGTGTGTGGGTGAGTGATTGTGTGTGTGAGTGGGTGTGTGGGAGAGTGTGTATGTGGGTGAGTGGGTGTGTGGGTGTGTGGGTGAGCGGGTGAGTGTGTGAGTGATTGTGTGGGTGAGTGTGTGAGTGATTGTGTGGGTGAGCGGGTGTGTGGGTGTGTAGATGAGCGGGTGAGTGAACACCATCAGACAGCAACCGACACAAAATCACCACAACCTCCACCACCACCACTCCCACCACGCACCATCACCACCACCCCTCCACCTCCACAGCCTCGACAACACTTTCCCCAGGAGCACGTGTGGGCTACCCGGGGCACCTTAGTCCGCGCATGCGCTCACCGCGGTGACCCCGCGCTCGTCCTGCTGGTCCACCCTGTGTGCGCCCTCTGACACGAGGAGCCGCGCGCCCGCCAGGGTGGCGGCGTCACGGCGCCCACGAGCCTCCTCCAGCGCCAACTCTGCCAGCCCTGAGAGGGGGGCAAGGGGGCGGAGGGGGAGGGGGGGAGAGGGGTGGGGGTAGGCGGGCGGGCGGGTGCACAACCATTCTGTGTTCAAATAAATGAATGGCAACCACCATCCCAGCACCACCTCCTCCTCACCCCTCATCCTCCTCAGTCTCTGACACCGCACATTCAGATTCTCATCACGGCCACGGCTCACAGGAGCCGAGCCCTCACCGTTCGCCCGGGCGGGAGGTGGGGGCTTGGGGGGGCGGGGTGGGGTGGGGGCAGAGGGGGAGGCTGGGGGGGTCAGGCCGGGTGCTGTCTCCGCTCGCCTCCCACACCTCTCTCATCTCGACATCGCCCCGCGTGCCCACCCCACTCCCCCCACCCCATATGCCCACCCCACACCCTCACCCCACACCCCCACCCCCACACCCCCACCGCACCCCACACCCCCACCCCACTCCAAACCCCCACCACCACACCCCCACCCCTCCCCACACCCCCACCCCTCCCCACACCCCCACCCCACCCCAAACCTCCACACCCCCACCTCTCCCCACACCCCCACCCCACCACGCCCCAACAATGCCCAGCGGCCAGCGACAAACGGCACTCTCGTCCAGGTTGTAATGGGATGGGAGAGTTGTGTGGGTCTCCGTCGCTCGTCGTTGTCACAGCATTAAGGAGGGCAACGACGGTGGGAAGAGAGAAGAGGGAATGCCACGGTGGGAGTGATGTGAGAGAATAAGCAGAAAGGTAAATGTAGGGTGAGTGTGTGGGTGAGTGGGTGAGTGGGTGAGTGTGTGGGTGAGTGGGTGAGTGGGTGATAGTGTTGGTGAATGGTTGAGTGTGTGGGTGAAGGTGTTTGTGAGTGGGTGAGGGTGTGGGCGAGTGTGTCGGTGAGTGAGTGTGTGGGCGAGTGTGTCGGTGAGTGAGTGTGTGGATGAGTGCGTGGATGAGTGCGTGGATGAGTGCGTGAGTGGGTGAGTGTGTGGGTGAGTGAGTGGGTGAGTGTGTGGGTGAGTGAGTGGGTGAGTGAGTGGGTGAGTGAGTGGGTGAGTGAGTATGTGGGTGAGTGAGTGTGTAAGCGAGTGTGTGGGTGAGTGGGTGAGCGAGTGAGTGGGTGGGTGAGTGAGTGCGTGAGTGGGTGAATGAGTGTGTGAGTGTGTGGGTGAGTGTGTGGGTGAGTGTGTGAATGAGTGTGTGGATGAGTGAGTGTGTAAGCGAGTGTTTAGGTGAGTGGGTGAATGAGTGGGAGGGTGTGGGTGGGAAGGTGGGGCGAGGGGGTGGAGGGGAGGGGCACCCCCACCACTGTGGCTCTGCCACGCTCGCACGATGGTGTCGCTCTCGGAGCCACGTGGAGTGTGGTCGCACGCCAGTCGCCCGTCGCAGTCGGTGGCCAGGAGGTCCGCCCCAGCCTGCACATCACGAGCAGCACCAGCACCGGCAGCAGCCCGAGAATGAGCAGTAGCATAATGAACATCATCATCAGCTACAGTATCAGCATCGTCATCCTTGTGGTTGTTGTGGTGATCATTATCATCACCATCATCGTCACCATCATCACCACCATCATCGCCACCATCATCGTCGTCATCATCATCGTCATCATCGTCAACTATTGTCATCATCTCCAGTTTCATCGTCATCTTCATCGTCATCATCACCATTACGACTGTAACCACCATTACCAAAGTCGGTAAGCATCAGTGACCGTTGTGGTCGTCATCGTGGTCAAGGGGTCAGGGTCTAGGGGTCGTGGTCTAGGGGTCATGGTCTAGGGGTCGTGGTCAAGGGGTCGTGGTCAAGGGGTCGTGGTCAAGGGGTCGTGGTCAAGGGGTCGTGGTCAACGAGTCGTGGTCAAGGGGTCGTGGTCAAGGGGTCAGGGTCTTGGGGTCGTGGTCTAGGGGTCATGGTCAAGGGGTCATCGCCATAGCCACGGGGTCAGGGTCACCGCCGTGGTCCCGCCGTCGGCTCGTACGTGCAGGAGGAGGCCGACGAGGTGGGGCTGGTCCCCGGCGCCAGCCGCGTGGAGCGGCGTCCACGCGTCGCCGTCGCGCTCCTCCACGCGCGCCCCCCTCCCCAGCAGCGCTAGCGCCGCCACCTCGTTCCCGTGGCGCGCCGCCTGCGCACCGCAGAGACCAAGACCCCCACGCCGTGCAGCTAACCAGACTGCCGGGGCGAGCGCCGTGAGTAGCGGGTAGCAGAGCCTGTGAAAGCCGGCAGTGTGCTGTGCGAAGGAGTGGCCGGCGCCACGCCCGGCCGCCTTTGTCTCCCGAGCGGTCACAACAATAACGACGACCGCCATTCGCCACTAAGTGTCGGTGACATAACCACGACGCCGGTGCCAGGCTAGGTGCGTTATGAGGCCACGTGGAGGGTGGAATGCCCGCTGGTAGGAGGTCATGGGACACACCTACACATACAACAGACGAAGATCCCCTGCCGTGTAGCCTTTAACATACTGTTGGGGCAAGAGCTGTTAGCGAGCGGTGCCTATGGAGGCTGGCACGGTGACACACGAAGTGGATGGGAGGCCAGCACCACGCGCTTTGTCTCCCTAGTGGCGATGTTTACACACCGCAACCAGGTACTCGTTTGAGGCTGAGTCGACCTAGGTGAGGCCCGGGACCGGTTAAGAAAATCGTTACCGGCTTTGGCAATGAGTGGCAATCGAATTCGGGTGGCTGGATTCGTAGCGCTGTTACACGATCACTCCCCAGCACCACCGATACCAGCAGCGTCACCTCTGTGTTGTTAGTTCCACTTAGTAGGAAAACTGCTGCTGCTGCCTGCTGCTGTTGTTGTCAGAACTCGCTGCTCCCGTGCCTTTACGGGACATCTGTGAAGAAGAGCTTCATAGATCATCGGATTCCTCCTCCTGTTGACTAAATAAAGACCCTGGCTCTTATACCTGGTGCAGGAAGGAGTCTCCCACGGGACTCGTCTCATTCGGGTCCAGCCCTTGGTCCAGCAGAGCAAACACTGAGACACAGAGACAAGCATCTTCATCATCATCAGCAGAATCACATTCATGCAGCATCGTATTCATCAGCAGCAGCATCGCTTTCATCATCAGCAGCATCACTTTCATCATCAGCAGCATCGCTTTCATCATCAGCAGCATCACTTTCATCATCAGTAGCATCACATTAATCATCAGCAGCATCACATTCATCATCAGCAGCATCACATTCATCATCAGCAGCATCGCTTTCACCATCAGCAGCATCACATTCATCATCAGCAGCATCATATTAATCATCAGCAGCATCACATTCATCATCAGCAGCATCGCATTCATCATCAGCAGCATCACATTCATCATCAGCAGCATCGCATTCATCATCAGCAGCATCACATTCATCATCAGCAGCATCGCTTTCATCATCAGCAGCATTACTTTCATCATCAGCAGCATCACATTCATCATCAGCAGCATCACATTAATCATCAGCAGCATCACATTAATCATCAGCAGCATCACATTAATCAACAGCAGCATCACATTCATCAGCAGCAGCATCACATTCATCATCAGCAGCATCACATTCATCATCAGCAGCATCACATTCATCATCAGCAGCATCACATTCATCATCAGCAGCATCGCTTTCATCATCAGCAGCATTACTTTCATCATCAGCAGCATCACATTCATCATCGGCAGCATCACATTAATCATCAGCAGCTTCACATTAATCATCAGCAGCATCACATTCATCATCAGCAGCATCATATTAATCATCAGCAGCATCACATTCATCATCAGCAGCATCGCATTCATCATCAGCAGCATCACATTCATCATCAGCAGCATCGCATTCATCATCAGCAGCATCACATTCATCATCAGCAGCATCGCTTTCATCATCAGCAGCATTACTTTCATCATCAGCAGCATCACATTCATCATCAGCAGCATCACATTAATCATCAGCAGCATCACATTAATCATCAGCAGCATCACATTAATCAACAGCAGCATCACATTCATCAGCAGCAGCATCACATTCATCATCAGCAGCATCACATTCATCATCAGCAGCATCACATTCATCATCAGCAGCATCGCTTTCATCATCAGCAGCATTACTTTCATCATCAGCAGCATCACATTCATCATCAGCAGCATCACATTAATCATCAGCAGCTTCACATTAATCATCAGCAGCATCACATTCATCATCAGCAGCATCACATTCATCATCAGCAGCATCACATTCATCATCAGCAGCAACACATTCATCGACAGCAGCATCACATTCATCATCAGCAGCATCACATTCATCATCAGCAGCATGGCATTCATCATCAGCAGCATCACATTCATCATCAGCAGCATCACATTCATCATCAGCAGCATCACATTCATCATCAGCAGCATCACATTCATCATCAGCAGCAACACATTCATCGTCAGCAGCATCACATTCATCATCAGCAGCATCACATTCATCATCAGCAGCATGGCATTCATCATCAGCAGCATCACATTCATCATCAGCAGCATCGCTTTCACCATCAGCAGCTTCACATTCATCATCAGCAGCATCACATTCATCATCAGCAGAAAACACATTCATCGTCAGCAGCATCACATTCATCATCAGCAGCATCACATTCATCATCAGCAGCATGGCATTCATCATCAGCAGCATCACATTCATCATCAGCAGCATCGCTTTCACCATCAGCAGCTTCACATTCATCATCAGCAGCATCACATTAATCATCAGCAGCATCACATTAATCATCAGCAGCATCACATTAATCATCAGCAGCATCACATTAATCATCAGCAGCATCACATTAATCATCAGCAGCATCGCTTTCACCATCAGCAGCATCACATTCATCATCAGCAGCATGGCATTCATCATCAGCAGCATCACATTAATCATCAGCAGCATCACATTCATCATCAGCAGCATCGCATTCATCATCAGCAGCATCACATTCATCATCAGCAGCATCACATTCATCATCAGCAGCATCACATTCATCATCAGCAGCATCACATTAATCATCAGCAGCATCACATTCATCATCAGCAGCATCACATTCATCATCAGCAGCATCAAATTCATCATCAGCAGCAACACATTCATCATCAGCAGCATCACATTCATCATCAGCAGCATCACATTCATCATCAGCAGCATGGCATTCATCATCAGCAGCATCACATTCATCATCAGCAGCATCGCTTTCACCATCAGCAGCATCACATTAATCATCAGCAGCATCGCTTTCACCATCAGCAGCATCACATTCATCATCAGCAGCATGGCATTCATCATCAGCAGCATCACATTCATCATCAACAGCATCACATTCATCATCATCAGCATCGCATTCATCATCAGCAGCATCACATTCACCATCAGCAGCATCACATTAATCATCAGGAGCATCACATTCATCATCAGCAGCATCACATTCATCATCAGCAGCATCGCATTCATCATCAGCAGCATCACATTCATCAGCAGCAGCGACACATTCATCGTCAGCAGCATCACATTCATCATCAGCAGCATCACATTCATCATCAGCAGCATCACATTAATCATCAGCAGCATCACATTCATCATCAGCAGCATCACATTCAACATCAGCAGCAACACATTCATCATCAGCAGCATCACATTCATCATCAGCAGCATCACATTTATCATCAGCAGCATGGCATTCCTCATCAGCAGCATCACATTCATCATCAGCAGCATCACTTTCACCATCATCAGCATCACATTAATCATCAGCAGCATCGCTTTCACCATCAGCAGCTTCACATTCATCATCAGCAGCATGGCATTCATCATCAGCAGCATCACATTCATCATCAGCAGCATCGCATTCATCATCAGCAGCATCACATTCATCATCAGCAGCGACACATTCATCGTCAGCAGCATCACATTCATCATCAGCAGCATCACATTCATCATCAGCAGCATCACATTAATCATCAGCAGCATCACATTCATCATCAGCAGCATCACATTCATCATCAGCAGCAACACATTCATCATCAGCAGCATCACATTCATCATCAGCAGCATCACATTTATCATCAGCAGCATGGCATTCATCATCAGCAGCATCACATTCATCATCAGCAGCATCACTTTCACCATCATCAGCATCACATTAATCATCAGCAGCATCGCTTTCACCATCAGCAGCTTCACATTCATCATCAGCAGCATGGCATTCATCATCAGCAGCATCACATTCATCATCAGCAGCATCACATTCATTATCATCAGCATCGCATTCATCATCAGCAGCATCACATTCACCATCAGCAGCATCAAATTAATCATCAGCAGCATCACATTCATCATCAGCAGCATCACATTCATCATCAGCAGCATCACATTTATCATCAGCAGCATGGCATTCCTCATCAGCAGCATCACATTCACCATCAGCAGCATCACTTTCACCATCATCAGCATCACATTAATCATCAGCAGCATCGCTTTCACCATCAGCAGCTTCACATTCATCATCAGCAGCATGGCATTCATCATCAGCAGCATCACATTCATCATCAGCAGCATGGCATTCCTCATCAGCAGCATCACATTCATCATCAGCAGCATCACTTTCACCATCATCAGCATCACATTAATCATCAGCAGCATCGCTTTCACCATCAGCAGCTTCACATTCATCATCAGCAGCATGGCATTCATCATCAGCAGCATCACATTCATCATCAGCAGCATCGCATTCATCATCAGCAGCATCACATTCATCATCAGCAGCGACACATTCATCGTCAGCAGCATCACATTCATCATCAGCAGCATCACATTCATCATCAGCAGCATCACATTAATCATCAGCAGCATCACATTCATCATCAGCAGCATCACATTCATCATCAGCAGCAACACATTCATCATCAGCAGCATCACATTCATCATCAGCAGCATCACATTTATCATCAGCAGCATGGCATTCATCATCAGCAGCATCACATTCATCATCAGCAGCATCACTTTCACCATCATCAGCATCACATTAATCATCAGCAGCATCGCTTTCACCATCAGCAGCTTCACATTCATCATCAGCAGCATGGCATTCATCATCAGCAGCATCACATTCATCATCAGCAGCATCACATTCATTATCATCAGCATCGCATTCATCATCAGCAGCATCACATTCACCATCAGCAGCATCAAATTTATCATCAGCAGCATCACATTCATCATCAGCAGCATCACATTCATCATCAGCAGCATCACATTTATCATCAGCAGCATGGCATTCCTCATCAGCAGCATCACATTCACCATCAGCAGCATCACTTTCACCATCATCAGCATCACATTAATCATCAGCAGCATCGCTTTCACCATCAGCAGCTTCACATTCATCATCAGCAGCATGGCATTCATCATCAGCAGCATCACATTCATCATCAGCAGCATCGCATTCATCATCAGCAGCATCACATTCATCATCAGCAGCGACACATTCATCGTCAGCAGCATCACATTCATCATCAGCAGCATCACATTCATCATCAGCAGCATCACATTAATCATCAGCAGCATCACATTCATCATCAGCAGCATCACATTCATCATCAGCAGCATCACATTCATCATCAGCAGCAACACATTCATCATCAGCAGCATCACATTCATCATCAGCAGCATCACATTCATCATCAGCAGCATCACTTTCACCATCATCAGCATCACATTAATCATCAGCAGCATCACATTCATCATCAGCAGCATCACATTCATCATCAGCAGCATGGCATTCATCATCAGCAGCAACACATTCATCGTCAGCAGCATCACATTCATCATCAGCAGCATCACATTCATCATCAGCAGCATGGCATTCATCATCAGCAGCATCACATTCATCATCAGCAGCATCGCTTTCACCATCAGCAGCTTCACATTCATCATCAGCAGCATCACATTCATCATCAGCAGCAACACATT